AAGAGTGGAGCCGGGGTAGTGACCTAAAAATACTGTGATTGCTGGAGGGTTTCAGGACCCACAGGTATTCTTGCATTTAGCAGCCAATACAGAGCTCTCTTTCATCAGCTTAACCTTTATCTTCCCAAGTCCTGTAACAAGGACATCCTGTCCTGAGGAATTCCTAGCTTAACCTCAAACTCCTAGAAGCAGTGCTACTTTTTATTTGTTTTGCAACATTCTCTTTCTGATTTAACTTGATGTCCCTTTGTTCTTTTTCTTTTTCTTTTTCTTTTTTTTTTGAAAGAGCCAATGAATAGTCAGTATCTGTTTACTCTTCATAAACACTTGTGATTCCCATCGTATTTACTCTGAGTTATAAAAAAGCTTGAAATGGTTTTGTTCATTATCCATACCCTGTGGTTGCAATGTATCCTGCATTGGACTGTGTTGCTCCTTCTGCCAGCATCATTAGCTGTGTGCTTTTTGTCCCAAGCTTACTTTTTTATGTTAAAAAGCTGAGATTCTCTTCTTTGTCAGATGTAAAATACATGGCTTGAAGGCTCTGCTTGGCCAGCTTGCCAGTGCTCAGCTGCACACACATTTTTCTGTGGGGAACTTAAGCTTGTGAGACATATTTGGCATTTTAGCTTACTGTTTCTGTAAAAAAGGAAAAGATGCTTTTAAATGTTCTTAGAAGGAACTTCACAGATGTCTTAGGAAAACAATGAAATATGTGGTTTGCAATTAGTGGGAGGAAACTGAATATGCAGTTTGATTTGCTTACATGATGAGGCTGTGGTTGGAGTCCAAACTGTTTTTGCACAGTTTGGTATCCTGTGATGATCCACACCTTTAAAAGGGTGATTTCTTGGTTTTTTTACTGTACTTTCCTGTGCCTGTATGTGTGAATCTGATAGGCTGCTGAGAGACTCCTTGTCACTGGTGGTTTGTCACAGTTTGGAGCTGCAGTGCTTGATGCAAATGAGACTGGAAAATATTGCAGTGCACAGTACGCAGCGAGTGCACGCTTTAACTTGAGTTTTGATTGTATCAAACCTATTTAAAGAAACTTTTGAAAGCTTTTATTGATTGACAAAATGCACTTTCTGTGGTTTTGTTTTTGTTTGTTTTTTTTTCCCCCCGAAGTGAAACTTGGGGGTGGTGGAGGAGGTGAAATCAAAGGGAATGAAAAACGTGTGTGGGCTTTTTTCTTGAGGAGAAAGCTTTAATTTTTCCAGTGTACATATTGCCCTTGAAATACAGCAATGGCTTTGCTACAGCTTTTCTGGAAAATAGTGTTCAGAGTGGCAATGAATGCCAGGTGATAGAAGATAATAGGAAGATAGACTAACAGTTTGGGGTTTTTTCCACCTCCAAGAGGAATTAGGGTTGTTTTAACTGGGTTTATCATTAATCCTGCAATGTGCTTAATGTGCCTCTCCACAGAACCTCATGACTGAGGTGCTGCTTTTCTTTTAGTCCACAGTGATAAATAAGGTCTTGCTCCAGTCTGTAAAATGTAGGAAGGACACGTGTTATTCACTTTCTGTGAACTGACTGTCATACCCAGGACCTCTGCAAGCTGTTTACTTCACCTGAGGGGTGTGTAGTGTGGTCTGGGCACAGAACCCAGCAGCCTGGCTCCTACTCTTATCCCTTTATTCTGCTCACCCTTGAAGTGCATCAGGGCCATGTGTGTTCAAATAAGTTGTGATGGGTTCCCCTCGTGATAAATCCACACTTCTGCATGTGGCTGCAGGAGGAAACTGAGTTTAACACTACACAGCTTTTCATTATGGCAGGATGTGTGTCACATTCATATATTGGGGATTCAGATCTCTGCTGAAGGCCTAGTTTTTAGCTTCTGCAGGATTGTGCAGCTGCACCTTGGTGGAGGGTTATTTCACAGCTGTGCAGCTGTTTCCTGAGGTTGTTTCTAATGCACTTGGGAAATATTTATTATCCGATAAACAATCTTGGATTCATAGAATTTAAGGTCATTGATGTTTGGTAACTACTGTCATTGCTGCCCCATAAAATTTGGGGTATGGGTGCCTGCACAGGGAGTGTTGATGCACTGAGGTTTATGTGGTTGAGGTGCCCTCGTGCAGACTGCTTCTTTTTTTACTGTGGTTTCCTAAGAAATGGTACTTGCATTGTAATTTTGTGTTTCACCCCTGCAAAAAAAACCCAAACAACCAACAAAAAACAAAAACTAAAAAAAAAATCTTTCAACCTAATTTGACAGAGGTCAAGGTTCTAAAAACATTGTATGAAAAGTTTGGGGTGGTTTCTTTTATTTCTTTGAAACAAGTTTTTATGCTAGAGGGGGTAAGGCCTTTCTAGCATTCCCACTGAGGGCACAAGCAGTGAGAATTGCACTCTAGTTAGGCACCAGTTATCTGTGCATGGGAGCTGAACCTCCAGGCAGGGCTCAGCAGAAAGTTTTCTCCGTACTCCTGTTTGTAGGGAGCTCTGAGCTGTGGGCTGTGTGGCTCCTGCTGTGCTGCTGAAAGCAGGCTTGGCTTACTGATTTTTCCCCCCACTCAGACTGTTGCTGTGTGTTTTGTTTCTCTTGCAGGTAAATGGCAGGACAGAAAGCTGTGTGAAAACTCTGAAAGGCACTGAGAAGTCCAAGTAGGTCATTCCTTGCTGAAGGGTATTAGGGATGAGGTCTCCTATTTAACTTTTTTACTCTTTCTTGGCGTGCGCTCTAAAAGTTTGGCACTTGTCCATTCATTTAGCAGTTGCCTAAAACAATGGCAAGTAAGCTGAGCTGTTGTGGGATAGTAACACAGTCTTGATTACATTGCTGAGAGCCCCTTTCTCTTCTCCTGTCAGGTCTGGTGCCTAAGCTGCACACATGGAAAAATCTTTTAACTCCTTTGCATGGGTGAGGATGGTAGGATACACTTTGAACTGCCATATCCACCCAATTCTTTGTTGAAAGTTTCTGCCCGACTTCTTTTATCAGGCAGAGTGAATCATCTCTGATCTAGTTTTTGTTACTGCAAGACGAGCAATTAAGTTGTTTAGATTTCTTAACTTCTGCTTCTGCTTTCTCCTGATAAAGCAGTATCAAACTTCTAAGCCTTGCGAAACAGGGAGGGATTGATCAAAGGTGGTGGCTGAGCAGAATGACACAGCTCAGTACAGGTGATTTTGGCTGAACTCCAAGTGTGTTTTTTGCTCATTTTTTTGGCCAAAATAAGGCCCTGTCCAGACTGGAAAGAGCTATGAAAGACCTGACAGACTCTGTGAAAATGATGTTATCAAAGAGCAATATCAAGGCTAAAACCCACCTAACAAAGAGGCATCTGGTGTTAACGTAGCAAGGACAGAGACATATCTTGCTAAGAAGCAGTTCCTTTGCCAAGGATGTTTCTGAAATGCAGGAAGTATAAAAAGCATAAATCTAGAATTCAGGTTCATGTTTCCTCACTGTTTTCTGGCACTATTCTCTCCCTTCTCTCAGCAGATAGGGAGCTTTCCTTCAGGAGTATTAAAAGGAAGATCTAGGATTTTTTTCTCTCCCACACAGTTTTGATGTAACATGAAGTTAATCTGTGATTTCACTTAGGATATCTTTGTGGGGAGGGGGAGTGGGATCCCAATGGTGTATTCCCCCAGCAGATGTCCAGCTGGGTTACAGAAGAGCAAGCTGTCCATGTTAATGATAGCAGAAAAGATGTAATTAGGTCAGAACTGAACAGCTCTCCAGACGATGTCTCAACACGTTGATTGAAATCTTGCACATTCCAAAGGAAGTGCCAGGTGTGCAGGCAGTGAAGGCAGACTTTGCAGCATCTTCTGAGAAGGAAACTAAGTCAAACAGGAATGCTAAGTCAAAGGCACTGATGGACAGGATAGAAACAGCTCTCATCTACTATTTTTGCACAGCACTTCTTTGTGGGGTGGCTGCATTTGGGTTTTTTCTTTTAATTATTTGAAAATTAATTCCATTCTGCACCTTAACTGTAACTACAGTCTTTTCTCTGGCAGGACTCAGCAACCTGAATTACTTTGGACTTTCCCTTCACTCCTTTCTCTTGCTGAGTAACCTTTAAACTTGGCTTTGAAGCTTGTGCCCAGCTTTCTGTTTCTAATTTCTAAGTTTTGTTTTTGATGTGTTGACACGTTAATCTGTATTTTTCTCTCGTTACCTGTTGTACGTGTGAGTTGTTCTCTCCCAAGTTTTCCCCAAAAATTCTTTTGAAGCTCTCCAAAAAAACCCCAAACCAACTCTAAACCAATTTTCCTGCTCTTGGTAATTTTGTTTTCAGAGCATGGGGTTTTTTTCAACATATATTTATATTTGAATAGCATTCAGTGCCAAGTTCAAGGGTGCTTGAGAAAATAAAAAGATTTTTCCATGCAAATTAGAACCCCAGCTTCTTGCTGTCTTTTGAGGGTTTTATTGCTAGGCAAATTGTTTACAAGAAAAAAAGAAGTAGAGACTTTTTACAGTTTTAACAAAGTAATAAGTGGATTTAATAGAAAAGGCCTGATGGAGGTAATATTATTTGCTTGGTTGTGGTTTAAATTAAAAAAACTTTGTCTTCCATATGTAAATCTTTAACCAGACTCCACCTGCTCACAGCATAGAGGTTTCTGGAGTGTAGAAGCTTCTTTCTACTCTTTGTAAAAAATTAGTTTTTCTGAATGTTGTGTTTCACTACTAAATTGTGTGTATCTTGGTGTGTTTTTCTGTATTGCATGTGCCACACACGATTCCTTTCAGCTAAGACAACCTACTTTAAAGGAGCCCTGCAGAGAAGCATACTTAAAAGCCTGCAAGCTCTTTAATTGTATCTGTGTAGTTCATACTTATTCTGATGCTTTGGCATATTTGCATAGAGTTATTTCCTATAGCAAATGGTGCTCTCCTAAAATCTAAGCCTTGGGCAGGTAATTCAAGATATTAATTCTGTGAAAGAGCATTTGTGTTCCAGACTTTTTTGTTACTTTACTACTTAGTGTTCTCTGAATTGAAAGCTCTAATGACCTTAAATAAAGCCCCAACAAAATAATCTTTGAATAACACACTTTCATTATTAGAAGTGTTAAATCAAGCTGGATTAAGCTGTTTTTGTTGCTGATGGTGCACGATGCATGTGACTTTGTAGTTTACCAATATGTGAAACTACCTGCATTATCTTTAAACATTGGTGTGAGGACCCTCCAGTGCCTGTTGTGTGCAGGTAGGGGTGCAGTTCTGGGATACTGACATGTTTGCTTTTCTGCCAAAGCTCAAAAGTACTACTCAGTTTTAACTTCAGGTGATTGATGTTGGTTTAGAAATGTAATTCCTGCCCATTTTCAAAAAGGATAAACTGCTTCTGCATCTTCTTCCTGCTCATTTTCCTCCAAATTCTTCCCTTCTACTGTGCTGCTGGGTCTTTCTGGAACAAGTTTTCTATGTCTGTACATACACTGATACTTCCTTGAGCACTGTATGTTGTAGTGACCACAGCTGAGTTGCCTGTTGCAGCTTTGTGGCAAAGCTGAATATAGTCAATTTTCACTTAGTACAGGAGAATCATGTGTGGTCCCCGTGGGAAGACAAAGGTATCTGGACACTGATAAAGACTTTGTCAAAAAGGACAAAGCTGAGACTGAAATTGTGTTGGGTTGTTGATTTGTTTGGATAATCTCAAAGAGGAAGTTGGAGGGAGTGAGTTGAATGGCTTTTCTCAGTGAAGTACTTCACAATTGCTCATTTTCACGTGTTCCCATTGCTATTTTGATGGTGTTGGAGCTGTGTTCTTTCTGGAATGTGCAATATAATTCCTCCCACTATTTGTTTCTTCTGTTTGAAGCAGCATATTTGCTGCTGGTTGCAGGTTGAGGATCACTGATAGCACCTCAAAGGCATTTGGGTGAGAAGGCAGATGCAAGTTCCTTCTTGTTCAGGCTAGCATTGAAAACTCCAGCTATGACAGCTTGTAGTTGTTCCATGCTATTTTCAAAGTTCCTGCTGTTCATGTGATGAAAGTTTAGAATGAATTGAGTTTTAGGTTACGTCCACTTGATTATCAAATACTCTTCACATATCAGGAAGGTGATAGGGAAGCCTGTAAGTGTCAAATGTAACAATTCTCCAGGCTGCCTGGGAAGGCTGTTTGTTTGCTGATCTTTTACAGCGTGTATTTTTCTAATTCTCAGTATGAGCATTCCTTGTAGCTCAAGCCTATTAAGTTCTGCTTGTTCTGTCACTGATTAGTGAGAATATTCTGTTCTTGGCTTCTTTAGAAAAATTATTAATGTATTCTAATCTGGGTGCTATGGCTGTATTTCAAAGAACAGCTTTTCTTGTATGTGCTACTTTCTGGACCTTTTATCTGGTGTCCTTTAAATAATGCAGTTTCTCAAGGTCTGATTGATCCTGAATTGAGTGAGTTATTCTAGTAAGCATTAGCAGTGCAGCCCAGCAATGGATAATTTGGTTTATTATATAATTTTTTGACATTTCTTTAGGGTAAACTGTTTAAGCAATAGACGGTAATAGACAAGAAGTGTGAGTCTTGGAGGGAGGGGTGTGTGTGAACCTACAAATGACAGAGAATCTTGTTACTGGGTCTGTGGTCACAATCCCTTTCCATTTACAGAAACCTCTAAGGACTTGTCCCTTTGCCTGTGGAAAATTGACAGTGTGGCAAGACTGTGGGAATTTGTCTCACTTGTACTTACAAGGTTGGAATGCAGACAGTTGTCACTGAGCTCTCAACTCACTGCATCTCCATTTCACTATTGTCATTCTGGCCTGCTAACTTCATTATTGCTTCTCAGACACTGAATGTGCCTAGCTGTGATAATAAATCCTTAGCAATATTAAAAACCCTTGCTAAAGCTTATCTTAGAAATGACAATCATTATGCCTTTCCTAACTTTTTTCCTTGCACTGTGCAGGACGTTGTTTCTGGGTGAAGGATGCAGACTATCAAGTGCGTAGTCGTTGGAGATGGCGCGGTGGGAAAAACTTGCCTTCTCATCAGCTACACCACCAATGCCTTCCCAGAAGAGTACATCCCTACTGTGTTTGACAACTACAGTGCCCAAATGACTGTTGATGGCCGGACAGTTAGCCTGAATCTTTGGGACACTGCAGGCCAGGAGGAATACGACCGCTTGCGCACGCTCTCGTATCCTCAAACCAATGTCTTCGTCATCTGTTTCTCCATTGGCAGCCCCTCGTCCTATGCAAACGTGAGGCACAAATGGCATCCTGAAGTTTCTCACCACTGCCCAAACGTTCCCATTCTTTTAGTGGGCACGAAGAGAGACTTGAGAAATGACCTGGAAACAGTTAAAAAGTTGAAAGAGCAAAGCTTGGCTCCCACTACCCCGCAGCAGGGAACTTCGCTGGCCAAACAAATTGGAGCAGTCAAATATTTGGAGTGTTCAGCGTTGAATCAGGAGGGTGTTCGAGAGGTGTTTGCTGAAGCTGTGCGTGCAGTTCTGTATCCTGTGACAAAGAAGAACACAAGAAAATGTGTCTTATTATAGTTACCTTGGGCGATGGATGTTCGAAGTTGACTAGGATCTTGGAGGGCTTTTTAATGCATTAAATTGAAGATTTGCATCTTGCACTAACAGCTCTAAGCAGAAATGGTTTATGCAACAAATATTCTTGCAGTCTTACTGCTTCAGGGAGACTGAAACAGAACAGGTTTTGCTTTCTTTTCTGGCTGAGAGGTCAAATATCTACTTTATTTCTAAAGTTCCAGTCGTCAGCTTCTCCAGGGATCACTTGGCTTCTGTACTTACTTAGTGGAGGAAAATAAAAGAAGGGACTTCTCTGAAGCCAGACTTCTTTACTAAACAGCCATCAGTGACTAGATTTGCTGAAAAGCACAAATCCTGCTAACTTTGGTTCAAGTGTAGCTGCTGCTTTTCCCATCCCTTATTTACTGATTGAATTTGTTTTACAGACAGAAGTCTGGCTGTCCCGTTGTTTTAAATTGTCAATGTAAAGCTTGAAAACAATTTTGTTTACATGCAAAGATGCCTGAAATATTACTGAGATTCACCTTATTTATATGAAGTGTTAGCATAAGGCATGTTTAATGCAATGAGCAATACCCAGGGAACACCTGCAAGGATTTTATTAATAGAAGCAGAAGCTGATTTCTCCTACTGTAGGGGACATGGGATAGTGGTGACTCACTCACATGAGTGATTTTCATACTGAATTGGAGAGATGGAAGAGTAGTTCAGATGCAAGTCTTCTGTAATCTTCTTTTATTTCACTCTGTGAAGAGACTTTGCACCCTGAGAATGAAGTTAACAGTTACTTTCCTGGACCGACTGAGGTAGTTGGGATGACACTTCTCAAAACAAGATTCTGAGTGTTATCCCTTTGCTGAAAGCCAGAGACTTGATAGCAGCCCATTTGCTCTTTGAGGAACTAATTGCTTCACTTCTTAATGTTCTTGGGGCCACCACCTAAGATTTTTACAAAAAATCCCTTTGTTGTTTTTCTGGGAGAACACTGACAAGAGAATTTGGAGGTTCTGTTTACAGAAACCAGGAACCCTCGTTTTTTCCTGGCAACTCACTGATGGTTTCAGTTTAATTTGTAATGGTTAGCCAGTCACTGGATAGGTTTACCTGAGCAGTTTTCTCCTCTCTACTAGGTGATCAGTTATTATAAACTGTTCTAACTGAAGTTTTATTTACATACTTTTTAACCTTTTTTTGCCAGCTGTAGTGAGCTACAGCTGGATTTAATTTTCAGGATGTGCACTGTTCTTTACATGTGATTCCAGGACCCAGCTGAGGAGGGAGAGCATGAAACCCTTCTTAGACTTAACCTGACAGCTTGGTGGTGTGGAAGCAGCGTGCTTCAGAGATACCTGTGTGAAACCAATGGTGCTGGACTGGACTTTGTTGTCTGAACTTGACAGTGCTGTCTTTGTCCGGATGCAGCATCAAGTGATAATTCACAATGTGCTTTCTTTTGATTTCCACACATGAAAACTGTACTGGACAGACAAAAAAAGCCACTCAAAAAACATTTTAGCAAGATAATAGAAAATACATCTACAGGGTTATTGGTGATCTTGCTTTATCTGATACAGACAAAAACGCCAAGTGGATAGAAATTTTTGTATTTGTGCCCTAATTCACCTCTTTGAAGAGGATGTGCCTTTCTTCAGCTGACCCTAACTGCAGTTTTTGTGTATCTGAGGGGTGCTCTCACTGGTACTGCTTTAGAAAACTTCAACCCATAGATTGTAAAGTGCAGTTAATCAAAAAATGGGTCTAGAGGACCAATGCAGAGCTCCAAACCTTGCCTGACCACAGGCAGTGCCAGAACTCCTGTTCTGCAGGATGTTGGCAGAAGAGACCCAGCGTGTTTTTCTTCACCAAGTGCCATTGCCTGGAGTGTCTTTGTGTCTTTTACACTCATATGTTGCTCCTACCACAGTGTCCTGCAGGCTGTGAGGGCCTGAGAGTATTTCACTGAGGTAACTTCTACTCACCACATTCTGCCTTTACTTTAGTACTAGGCCTTTGGTGTGGGCTTGACTTGCAGGCAGCAATTAACTCTGTGCCTTGTAATTCAAGATTATTTTCTGTAGGTAAATTCCAGCAACCAGGTAAATAGAGTTTATAATGTTTAAAATGTATTTATTTAAGCCAGTGCACATGTGTAAATGCTGGTCAGACCGAAATCAACTGTCCAGTTGCTCTGGTGCAAGCCCATAACCTTTGATTCATTCAGAGATGTATGTTAAAAAGTTTGTGATATGTTTGAACTGCTCTTAAATAGACAACAGGCACCTTTTTTTTTTTTGCTACAAATGTTTGCAATTTTGTACTGAAGCTACTACTGTTTTAGAAAGTTTTTACTTGTTTTTTTTTAACATACTGAAATCTTTTAGTTCTGCATCTTTTGTGGTTATTCCTAACTGGATTACAGTAATTTTGTGGAGAAGAAATCCTGTGAGCAAGTATTATTGCATACACCTCCCCTGTTTCTGTAGGCTCACAGAGCAGCCCTCCTGGTGTTAACTGGAAGAGAAAATGGTGAGATAAAATTCAACTACTTAACCAATGTATTTGAATTTATTATGTTATTGATTGCATTATGCTAGAACACTTTATCCCCATCTAGATTACTTAGTAGGTGGATTGCACAATAGTCATAAGGAGAATAACAAGATAGTGATGAAAATGAGCATGAAATTGAACTTTGAACACCGTAAAAAAACTACTTACTGACTTTGCAGTACCTCATTAATAGTCATTTTAGATGCCTTGTGTTTCTGTTGCTTTCTGCTGGGATGAAAAGTCCTGCAGGCTGACAGCTGGTTTCCTCCAGCCTCTGCTTTTTGTTAGAATGAGCTTCAGGAGTGCACAGATCCATCCAGTTTTTCCATTCAGTGGGCACTCTTAGTTTGTGATCTTCCCCTCCTTTTTTTTTATTTTTCCCCTCTACAATTCTTGGCGTTTTTTATTGCAAGCAGCCCAGTGCTCCAGTCTACAGTCCTTTCCCTTCCTCTCACATGTTTTTTCTGGGGGCAGGTAACCTGCTTACCTGGCTTAAGCTGTGCAGGTTTTCCCAACTGTTCCAAGATCCCTCAGCGTGTCCCTGAGCAGAAATTCAGTCCGTGTGTCTTAATTCACAGGAGAGACTCTCTATGAAGAGACCAATTTGAATCTTTCAGTTTGTGAACGACGTCTGAACTACTTGTGTTTCTGAAGCCACCCCCAGAGAGCTGAGCCGTGCGGGATCTTCTGGGGCACGCTTAGACGTGGCAGTGCTTCCTCCAGTTCCCAGCTGTGGCTGTTCCTGTGAGCTGCAGATGAGAAGAGCTTCCCTGAGCCTTGTCTGGCTCTGCTGGGACACAAGTGGGTGCTGGGGCTGCTGCCCAGGGGGTGATCAACCTCCCTGGGGTCCCAGCCCCGCTCAGCAGCCCGAGGCTCTTTAAGCGCGGTACTGATACATACACTGGCAGCCTGATTTTACCCTATCAAACTGTGTATTTCAGCTAACGGTTGTAAAGGAGCTGTGTTGTTTTCTAACGATGCCGAGTTGTTGTAACCAACCTTTGCCCATCTCGCTGGCTCCGGTGTTAACTCACCCCGCCCGTGTTTGTAACGCACCTGTTCGGAAGGTGGTTCTTTCCTGTGGAAAGCCGGGGTTTCTGGAATGCAATAAAGGACGTGTCTGTGAAGGCCGCGGTCTGGGGGCCTCCTTGTGCCGCGCGGGGGCGCCGGTTCCCGGTTCCCGCCCCGGTTCCGCCCCGCTCCCCGGTGCTTCCGCTTCCGGGCCGGCGCGGCCGCCATGTCGGACTCGGAGAGCGAGGAGGAGGCGGATGGCGGGCAGAGCGAGCCCTTCTCGCTGGCCGGTTTCCTCTTCGGCAACATCAATGAGGCGGGGCAGCTG